GGGAGAAGCAGACTCCCCGCCGAGCAGGGAGCCCGATGCGGGACTCGATCCCGGGACTCCAGGATCATGACCTGAGCCGAAGGCAGCTGCTTAACCAACTGAGCCACCCAGGCGCCCCCCAAACCTCTATTTTAGAAGGGAGGCAGACAAGAAGCATGTCAACAGATAGATAAAAAGTGTATTTGCCTTTGTTTTCTTCCCTTGGTGTTAGTTTTGCATTTATTGTCCTTCGTCTAGCTTTTATGGAATATGTCTGTGGAGGGGGTCTGATTTGGGATCCTCCCCTCTAGCAGTTTGATGGCTCTCTCTCCCTATTTAGGCAAGCTGCTTTTAATGTTCTTTGATGTAATTGTGTAGTTTTTTTCTGGTTGAATTGATTCTAAGTTCTTGGTATTTTTGGTTGCGACTTTGAGCAGGATCCTTTTGTTGGTCATTATATGTTCTAACTGTACATTTCTGGTTTATAGGAACCCTATTGATTTTTGCATGTTTATTTTACATCTAGCCACTTTGCTGCATTCCCATTATTTCTGAAAGTTTCTGTTTGTTTGGGGTAGATGATCATGTTGCCCACAGTCAGTGGTCCTTGGTCTCCTCATTTGTTGGCAGTTATTCTTGTGCTTTTGAGCTCTTTCTAGCCTTGAGCCCTGGGGATTATGTCACATTAGAGCACTGCTGGTGGGTCCTTGTCTTGTCCCTGACTTTCGTGGCAACGCTGGCTGCACTTTCAGGTCTGTAGTCTTTATCTTGCTACACAATAAGCCCCTGCCCCTTGCGTGATTGGTGTTTGATCAGGAGGGGTCAGCTTGGGCCTTGGGGTTCCATGTCTGCACCCCGTAGTCTCCTTCATGGCTCTGGCCTCCTGCTAAAGAGTGTTGGCTTTCTCTAAAGAAACACAGACTCCGTTTTCCTGGCAATTAGGGCTTTTAAATTGAGGATGGCTTTGATCTGTGTTCAGACATTGCAGCACATCCCAAAGGCAGTTTTGGGCACCCCTGTCTGCATCCCCTTGGAGAGGGGCAGCTGTGCCTGTTGTGTGGAGCTGCTGCCAGGCCTTAGCTGCAGCGAGGTCAGAGCCTGACGGGGCACCGGGCAGCAGGTGCTTCCTGCTGGTCTGACAGGCTGCCCGCCAGATCTGCAAATTCACAGGCAGGCTAAGTTTCCCTGCACAGTGGCATGGTGATGAAAGTGGCTGAGACTGAGGTGCCTAAGTGGGTTCTGTTCTAGAGCAAAAGGAAAGGGGGCTGCACAAAAAGCGATGGCTCCCAAAGAGAAGATTTTAAAATAGTGTGGTGTACTGAGAGCTCTTCCACGTGCCAAGGCACGGCACTGAGTGTGCTAGGTACAGCAGCTCATTTCCTGTACCCGGTACCTTGTTCCACCTGGGCACTTGGGTCGGGCGGGGCCTCTTAGAGCCATGACCTCAGCACTGCCGGGCTGCTTGCCTCTGCTGTGGCCTTGCTCAGGCCCTCTTCCGCAGAGAGAGTCCCTCCCTGGCAGCCTGCCCTCCCTGCTGAGACCCCTCCGGAGCCACGGTACCAGATGAGTGCATGACTGGGTGGCCTGGGGCACGGTGGCTCGGGGTGAGAGCTGACAGAGGTGGTGGAGTCACTCACTCAGTCTCACCTTGGCTGCTCACCGGCTCTGTGGCCTCATCCATGTCCCAGCTTTATAAATGAGGAAACTGAGGTGCAGAGGTCAAGCCCCTTTCTGAAAGCCCCCTGGCTGGCACACGCTGTGCTGTGATTGCCCTCACAGAGGCCTCAAGGCCTGTGGAAAGCCCTCTTTTTGGACTGCCCCTCATGTCTTTGTCCCCAGCCACCTGGCCCTCAGTCCTGAGGACTAGGCATGGAGAGTGCCATCATAGTCCTCTCATGGTATGCCCTCCTCCTCCTCCTCCTCGCCCCTCCCTGTGCTCAGGACTCCTTGCTCCGGCTAAAGGACCACCGACAGTGTTTCGAGTGCTCCGATGTGGCTTTGCACGAGGCCGTCCAGCAGATGGTGAATGCGAGTGAGTCTGCAGCCAAGGAGGAGTGGGTGGCCACGGTGACCCAGCTGCTGCTGGGCATTGAGCAGGCGCTCTCGGCTGACAGCAGTGGCAGCATCCTGAAGGAATTGTCTTCCTCCACTGGCCTCACCCGGCTCACCAACAACCTCATCCAGGTAACCCACTACTCCTTTTTTCAGACATCCCCTTTCTTCGTAGCTCACCGGCTTTACTGCAGGCTAGGCACCCCAAGGGGATGTGTTGGCTGCTCTGGCTGCAGGAAGCGGGCACCTGCTCTGGCTGTGCACTGGCTGCACACCTCCATGGGGCTGGTCGGGTCTGTGGGGGTGAAGACTGCTGAGCACTTGGTACCACAGGGTTCCTCCAGACCACCCATCCCCAAAGGGTGGAATGAGGCTCAGAGCAGGAGGCCCTGACGTGTGTGCTGTGAGCAGGAGGTGGAGCTGAGGCTGGAACCCCAGGCCCTCTGTTTCCCCACCGGGGCTCTCCACCACCCCACGTCATCCTGGCTCTCATAGCCAAGGGGTGATCACAGCACTCCAGTCGTCCAGGTGGGCTTCATAGCAGGGAACTTGCCTTAAGCTCTTTCTTCTGACAACTACTACTCAGGCCATCAACAGGTCCTGCCAAATCCACGTCCTTAACGTGCCCATTCTTTGTTTCTCCTCTCTGTCTGTAGTGCTCTGCCTTAGCCCAGGCCACCGCTCTCTCTTCTTTGAACTGTGGCAGCTTGCTCCCTGCAGTCCTCCTTGCCCCCTCTACCCTCCCAGTGCAGCCATCACCGCGACATGGGAACATCAGTGTACTCCTCCCTCTCTTCAACCCTTCATACTCCTCCGGGTTGCCCATCACCCAAGGTGCACGATTCCGCCCAGCCTCCTTTACTCATCTTTTGCTTCCTCGGCTGCCTCTGGGCCTCTGCTTGCATGCCTGTCCTCTGCCACCCACCCATTCCTGCCCTCTTCAGTATTGGTTCCACCACAGCCATTCACCTGGAGTGTCACTTCCACTCCAGGAAACCTCAGTTGCCCACCCCCTCCTTGGCAACCCCACTGTGGCCCTCATTTACCTTAAATGCAGTGGCCATACTGATTTTGATTCTTAATTTTTTAAAAAAGATTTATTTATTTATTTGAGAGAGAGCAAGCATGCACGTAAGCAGGGGGAGGAGTAAAGGGAGAGGGACAGACAAGCCGACTCCACGCTGAGCGTGGAGCCCACCGTGGGGCTCAATCTCACAACCCTGAGACCATGACCTGAGCCAAAATCAAGAGTCGGCTCCCTAACCAGCTGAGCCACCCAGGCGCTCCTGATTCTTAACTCTTGAGTGGCTTGTCTGTGGCTCTCTTCCCCCTGTGCTATCAACTCCCTCCCTGCCCCACTCACCTCTGTAACCCTCACATCTGGCACGGGCCCAGCACACAGTAGGTGCTGAGGGCGTCAGGAGCTGCACGTGACATAAGGGAGGACTATCAGAGCTGGCTTCTCCGATGCCTGGGCTTAACTCTGTTGCTGGGCACTCTGGGACGCTGATGATGTGCTGGAATGCTTCTAGGTCAGTGTCCCCACCTCTGCCCTGAGGAGTCATCCCAGAGGGTGGGAGCGACAGCTGGCCCTACTATGACATCCCCTGTTCTTCTCCCTCTCCCAGGTCATTGACTGTAGCATGGCCGTGCAAGAGGAGCCCAAGGAGCCCCATGTCTCCTCAGTGCTGCCCTGGATCATCCTGCACCGGATCATCTGGCAGGAAGAGGACACCTTCCACTCCCTCTGCCACCAGCAACAGCTCCAGAACCCGACAGATGAAGGTGGCAGGAAATGGGTCTGGGTGGGGGCAGGCCTTGACAGCTCTATCCAGGTGCTGTGTGGACTTAGGGCTCAGTCAACAGGGTTTTGTGTGGCGCTCAGAAGAAGCAGAAGCTCCTTTGGGGAGCTCATTGCCCAGCGAGGTCAAGAGGCAGTGGGGTGTGGTATTTCATGTCTGGTGCCGATGGCAACACAGAATGACAGCGTGGCGAGTGCTTACAAAGAGTGCTGACACTGCTCCAGGCAGTCTCACACTTGCTTACTCCTTTAATCCCCAAGGCAGCCCTGTGAGATGGGCAGCTACACACTGGCCTTTGCACTTAACCACCATGCTCTGTGACCCCTGCTGGTGTGAGCCCGTCAGTGAGGGAGGTATGGAGTGAGCACAGGTTCCAAATCCCAACTGTCATGTCTTGACTGTGTGACCTTGAGCAAGTCATACAACCTCTCAGCCTCTATTCCCCAGGTACATGCTGGGAATAATGGTACCTATCTCAGAGGATTGTTCTGAGGACAAAATGAAATAATAAAGCTATCATTTGTCGAATCAGTGCCTGGCACATGGGAGTGCCAAATGATGAGTAGTTATAACAAGAAACCGAAGAGGGTGAGCCCAGGACTCTTCATAGAGGTGGTACTTGAGCCAAGTCAGTGCAGTGGTAGGAGATGTGGTGAATTGAAAAATTAACAATAACAACTAAATGACATTTAAACAAAGATTCCCTATCATTCTACCAAGTGGTAGAATGTTCTTGCATTTTCTGTCTAGACTTGGCCAATGACACAAATTTTTTATATAGCTGAGATTTTAATACACATATTTATGTATTCAGCTAAGTTTCAGATTAAATTTATTGGGAATCTTTCCTCAGTGATTTGAAAAATCAGAAAAATGGAAAGGAAAGAAAGTCATCCCTATTCCAACAACCTAGAGAAGGCCAGAGTTAACATGCAGTTTGTTTCCTTCCGTTCATTCTCTCTAACTCCCCCAGTACTTATCAGCTGCTCACTGCATGTCAGACCTCTGGGAATAAGGCACTTCACTCTGACAGATTCATGGTGGGAGGAGACAGACCAGAACACCCACAGTGCCAAGCCAGGGTGGCCCGCTGAGAGAAGGGTGCCTCATGCTGCCTGGGTGGGGGCGAGGGGCGGGGTGGTATTGGGCTGAGGTTTGAGGGAAGAGCAGGGGCAGAGGAGGACACTGGGGAGATGGAGCAGCGTGAGCAGGGTTGCAGGAGAGCTGGACCATGTGGGTTGGACATGGGAAGGGCCAGACTGAGAAAGGCTTTCAGGACCTATTTTATGAAGCTGTTTCAGATTTTGCTCTGTAGTTTTTGTAATGCTGTTGAGAGGTGTCCTGCTTTACTGAACCATCCCCCCTGCTGACCCCTCAGGATGCCTGCAGCATTTCTCTTATAGGTCACACTTCGATGAACCTCATGTATACCTTTTTGCTTCTGCCTAATTGATTTTTTGGATAAATTTCTAGGATGAATATCTTTTGAGCTTTTGACAAGTAGTACCTTTATATTTTCCAAAAGGGTTTTAATAGTGAAAAAAAAAATTGAGGTTTACAATTATGCTTATTGTTTTTCTTATAAATATAATACAGAGAGACTCCTGAATTAAGAGTATTCTTTCCCCTCTGATTAATTATATAAACAAAATATAGATTTTAAAAACCTGCCAGTAAGCAAACAAGGAAAGGGGGACAGTGGAATGCCATCAACTTGAGAGGGCAGGCCAAGGAAAGAATAAGATTCTGGTGGACTGGCAGCAGGTGTGGTTCCTGTCCCATCCTCTCCCACTGGTAGGAAAGTTGAGGGAAGATGGGAAGTTGGCAAAATCCTGGGAAATATTATTAATGTCCTCTCATTTGTAGAGCGTGGGCAAGTGGAGAAGCCCCTCCATATCACCCTGGGCTCAACAGAGACAGGAAGGGCTCCAGGGCCCTGCCACCTTCCAGTGACCAGATCACGCTGAGGGGAGGGATCCAGGGATGAAGCACATTACTGGCTGGGTGGGGAGAGGTCCGGTGTAGGGTAGAACATTGTCATATTGAGTTCTCTGAGCCAGTTCACTGGGGAGAGGAAGCAGGATAGAGCAAAGGAAAGTTGATCTGTGCTTCAGGTCTGACCCAGGCCTTGGCCAACCTGGCAGGCAGCTCTGGAGCCAGAGTGGCCCATCAGAGCTGTCCTACCATGTTGGACTCCAGTAGCTGGTCTTTAGACTCCTATCTTGCTCAGTCACTGCATATGGACTCCCACAGAAAGTGCATGACCTTGGGTGAGGTGCATCTCTGCAGCTACAGAAGAACCTGAAGGAGCTGACAGCTGGGGGCTGTCTGCTGACTGCACTCCTCTCAGTGGGTAGCCAGTCCTACCTTAAAGGGCATCTCAGAGAAAAGACGAAATCCAGGTGTCCCAGCGAGGACCGTGTGCAGCACTCGCCCAGTAATCTCCCTTCTACCTCCGCAGACACAGGTTACAGGAAAGTGGGTTGAGAGCAGCACCTACTTTAAAATTATGGCTTTAAGGAAAGGGCAAATTGATCTTATATTTGGGAAAGTGCCCCAGAAAATCCATTGCTGATATGTTAGAGTACTTACGTAGTATGGAGGAAGTGCCCTAGCAGACCATGGGCAGGGTAGAAGAAGTGACGTGGCAAGTGTGCTGACCTGTTGTAGCTTGCCCCCAACCCTGTGTGGGGGACGAAAAAGAAATAGATGACCTCAATCAGGAAGAAAACTTACACCAAGGAACAGAGTTGGGGCCCTGTAATGATTTGCACAAGAAATCACTTATTACCAAATTGGAACTAATAAGCAGAATGAAACGAAATGGAAAATTGCAAAACTAAGGGAAAACATTGCAAACCAAGCCTCACCATTATAAACTAATAAAGCAGGCTGCGAGGAGCAGAATGAGTATATGTAGAACTGAAACCAGGGATACAGTTCAGAGCCAAAAGCGTTGATGAGAAGGATAGATGTGGGAAACAGGTGGTCCGTGCGAGGATAGATTGTGCTTCTGATGGAAAGACTCTAGCAATGAAACAGGACAAGCAGTCAACCCACTGTCAAACACAGGAATAACATGAATTTCTCTGTAATAAAAACTGAATGTGCAGATTCAAAGTTTTCGGTATATACCGTGAAAAATTTGATACACAGCAAGATACATCCTGGTTAAGGATCTACTTTAAGAATAAAGATTTTTTAGATTTCTAAACTGAAAAAGCAATTTATCTTCACGGGATAAAACATGAGACTCATTTCAGATTTCTCCCTAGCCGCATTCAGGGCAGTTGAGGTGATATTTAAAAGTCTACACTGTTTTCAAGGAAAGATGGTGCAAACTAGGACATCTAGCCAAGTTGCTTATAATTAATAGTGGTAACAGACATTTATAAACAGGGATTCCAGCTTCTGTGGGTGCTTCTAAAAACACCACTGGAGAATGAAGTCAGTAAACCAACATGAGTCAGAATGAAATTCGTCAGGAGTGGAAAAGCCACAGGCAAGATTTTGTGATGAGCACCAAATCCATTTAGAATTGGAATTGAGAGAAAGCAACTGTGCTAATTATTATGGTCACAGAACAGAGTGTCAGTGTTACGAACCTTGAAGTGCTACAAATAATATGTACAAAAAAATTGGGAGAAGGGGAGAAAGGAAGTGTTATAAGCTATCATCCATCTTGAGTAATAGAATCACTTGATGCTGTTGAAAATGGAGACTAAAGGACTGGCATGGCTTAATTTCTTCATGATTTTCTGAGTTTGTTTTTTTTTTTAAATCCATGCCTCTCATACTTTTTTTTTTTTTTGAACATTTTATTTATTTATTTGACGGAGAGAGAGAGAGAGCACAGCAGGGGGAGCAGCAGAGGGAGAAGGAGAAGTGGGCTCCCCGCTGAGCACGGAGCTCGATGTGGGGCTTGATCCCAGAACCCTGGGATCATGACCTGAGCCGAAGGCGGACGCTTAACCAACTGAGCCACCCAGGCACCCCATCATACCTTTTTTAAAAAATTAAATTAATTTATGTTTTTTTTAGAGCAAGCGAGAGAGATCGAGAATGCATGAGCCGGGGGGAGGGGAGGAGGAGCAGAGGGAGAAGCAGGGGCTCCATCCTAGGACCCCGGGATCATGACCTGAGCTGAAGGCAGACACTTAATCAACTGAGCCACCCAGGTGCCCCCCTTTCACACCTTTTTGACTGGGGCTGGCCAGTGGTCAAAAAGTATGAAACAAATTTCATGAAAGAATCCTTATTCTACCTGGTGTGAGCCCCACTGGTATTTTCTGTCCTGTGTTCTATCCTAGTCCTCTTTAAAAATGCTAATTACAAGCCCACCAGTGGGTTATAGCCTAGAGTTTCAAAAACACTGAAGAATCTTTAAGGAGCTAATAATAGTTCTAGTGGTGAACAAACACTTAACTGAAATTTGGTCATTCTGTTTTTTTTCTATAATACTCCAGTAGGCCTACGTATAAGAATCTTTAAGAAATGGTATATGTCATACGGGTTTCATTGTTAAAAATTATCTTTCTAGACGAATCATGAGACTATGGACTCTGAGAAACAAACTGAGGGTTTTAGAGGGGAAGGGGGTGGGGAGATGGGTTAGCCGGTGACGGGTATTAAGGAGGGCATGTATTGCATGGAGCACTGGGTGTTATATGCAAACAATGAATCATGAACACTACATCAAAAACTAGTGATGTAATGTATGGTGACTAATATAACAATAAAATTAAAAAAAAAAAAACCTGGGGGGAAAAATAAATAAATAAAAATTATCTTTGTCTTTCAAAATGTTTCATATATGTGCCCAGAAAGATGCTTCCAGTGATGTCCACCAAATGTCAGCATGGTTATCTGGAGGTGGATGAGGCATTCCTTATGTCTTCTTGTATGATTTGAATTGTTTTTTGAGAAGCGTGTATTGCTTTAGTAAAGCCAGTCAAGTCATTACTTACTTAAAAAGATAAAAAAGGAAAGAAAGAAAAATCTGTGGCCGCTTTGGTAAAGACAGAAAAGCCTGCAAAGGAGAGGCTGAGCCTTGCAGCTCCCACACATGTCCCCATGCTAACTCTGTGCCGGTCTGTCTTTCCCTAGTGATGGCCGAGACGCCCATGCTCCCATCCTCCCTCATGCTGCTCAACACAGCCCACGAATATTTGGGCAGGAGGTCCTGGTGCTGCAATTCCGATGGGGCTCTGCTGCGATTCTACGTAAGCACTGCCCTCTTGGCCAGGGCTGGGGGCAGGGCGGGTGCGGGGGAGGAGTGCAGGGTGGGATGGGTTGGCACCCTGAGGCTTGCTTGCTTGGCCTTCCCCTGCACTGGGGCCTGCCGTGCTTCTTTGATTTTGTATGTGACTACTCAGAGTTGCCAGAAAGTCTGAACTTGGTTCCCTTGTGCACCTGAGTTCAGGGGTTCTGGATCTGACCTTGACCTACAGGTGGATTTAGAACCATTACTTGTTACTGCATCTGTTATGTGTGTGTCAGGCATAGGGCCGGGCCCTTCATAGTAATTTTAGAAGAAACAACTGCATTCACCACTGCCTTCCATTGAGTCCTGTTTGCCAGGCACCACTCATACAAGGTAGGAGTTGCTGAATCAATAGCTATTTAGCAAGTAAATATTTGGTGAGTGCAAATAGCCTTCCCTCACTTGGCAGTTGTGATTGACTGGGCGTACTGGGGATAAGCAGCATGATTCTGTCCCCAAAACTCGCTGCTGAGTGTGAGGCCAAACAGCACACAGACAGGTTACAGAGCATAAGAGGGTCACCCAACCCAGCCTGCAAGGTCTATTAATAAATATTTTAGTGGAACATGGCCATAACCATTCATTTACCTATTAACTATGGCTGCTTTGGCAATACAGTGGCAGGGATGAGAAGCTCTGATAGAGTCCATATGGTACGTGAAACCTAAAATATTTACCATATGGCCCTTCAGGAAAAGGTTTGCTGACCTCCGCTCTATACCTTTTCAGTGAGCAAGCATATCCTCTCTACAACCGCAGTCTGCCTCCCCAGTGCTGATCTTCCTCCTCTGCCCTGTGCTTTCTGCATGGCTCTTACCACCTTCTAGCATGCCTTATAATTTATTTATCTAGTGTGTTTATTGTGTACCTCTTCTCCATTGAAACGTAACTTCCATGAAGTAGGGATTTTTGTTAGTTTTGTTCACTGCTGGATCCCAGTACTTAGCACAGAGCACCTAGCCCATAGTAGGTGCTTAGTACATAATGGGTTGAATGAATGAACGAGACTGAGAATATTTATAGAGCTCATGTATGTGTAAGGCTTGACAGTTTGCAGAGCACTTGTGCTGAGGAGGCAGAGACTTGGCAGCAGCCCTAGCTGTAGATGCCTGAGTGTCTGCTCTACCCTGTAAGTTCTGAGGGCCTCCCAGGTGCTCACCTTGGGTCAGCTCCACGCTTCAGGACCATTTTTGGAAGAATTGTGCTAAGCTTAGACTATATTGCTGCCCAGGAATTGTCGACTTCCTTCTTCTGCCTTCCCTCTCCCAATTAGAGAGTGTGGAGACATTGTCTACTTCCACAGGGTCACCTCCACAAGGCAGTCAGTCACCCTTATGCCCTTATGCTGCTTGGGGCAAGTCAAGAATGAGGTAGCACCTTTGCAAGCTGGTACCCAGCAGGAGTGGTGCTGAGGAGCGGCCTTCCAGCAGGCAGCAGGGGTGATGATGGGACGATCCTACTCCAGGTTTTCCTTAGGCTGCATCTTCTTTGGTGGAGCGTGTATTCTAGCTGCCAGGATCTGCCAAGTGAATTTGATGGAGTGGAAGTAATAGGAGTACCTCCATGTTTCATTTCATAGCTCCTGACTTTTCTACCCAAGGCCCAGCTTTTCTATTCCTGCAGCAACTTTGCCTTTGTGGACTCGGCTCCTGCTTATTGACTTCCCTCTCTGCTCGGGGCCATCTAGGTGTCCGCTAGCGATTTGCTTGCTCATGTAATTTGCTCATTTTTCTGTTGGGCTTTTTTTCTTTTTCCTATTGATTTGTAGAGTTTTTATGTACTCTGAATTCCAGTCTTTTGTCTGATATGTATGTTTCACCAGTTTTACGTGTCCGTGTGTGTATGTGTGTCTGTGCACACGCACGTGTGTATTTAGTTCTAATTTCTATGCAATTTTATGTGACGTGTCTTTTAACTTTGTGTATAGTGTTTGTTTTACAGAATTTAAATGTCAAATTTATTAGTCCTTTATGGTTTGTGGGGTTTTTGTTTTCTGGGTGTGGTTTGTTTTGTTATTTGTACTTTAAGAAATCCTTTCCTCCCACAAGATTATTAATATATTCTTCTCTATGTTAATCTTAAAGTTCACTCTCATTTTTCACATCCGGTCTTTATTCCTTCTCAATTTTCGTTTGTTTATGACATAAGGTAGGGATCCATTTTACATTCTATATGGATAGCCAGTTGGTTTGTACCAATCATCAAAGAGTCTGTTCTTTCTGCACTAATTTGTAAAGCCCCCCTCCATCTTCTGTCCATACGTGTGAGGGTTTGTTGTTGGACTTTGTTCTTTCTATTGGTTTAGGTATTCCTGAGCCAGTATCACCCTGTCTTTGAGGTATACTGATACCTGCTAGGATTAATCGACTTACCTATTTGTCACATTCTCTTGACTTTGCCCTTTCCTCTTCTAAAACATTGTAAGGACAGTTGGTAAAATTTTGTGACCCCCGCCCACCCACTTCCTAATCCTCGCCACCATTGGAATTTAATTGGAATGGCATTAATCTCACAGATTAATTTGGGGGAGAGTTGCCATTTTTATATGATTCTTTCCAGTCATGAATGTAGTATATCTCTCCATTTATTCAGATCTTATACTTTCATGTCCCTTGATACAGTTTTATAATTTTCTCCTTAAGCTCTTATATATATTCTGTTAGATTTATACCTGCGCATTATTTTTTTATTCCTGTTATAAATAAATATTTAAAAATTAAGTTTTCTATTTCGTGTTTGTGGACAGATAGGAACACTACTTTTTAAAAAATAAGTTTCTCCTGTCCATAACTCCTTTACTACTGCTTTTATTAATTCTGATGGATTGTAGATTTCTCAGATTTTCTCCGCGGACAGTTATATCATCCATGAATAACTATTTTTTCCCTTCTTTTCAATCCTTACAGTTTCTTTTTTTTTTTCCCTTGTCTTAATGCTTTTGGCCTAGGGGTTGGCACAGCTTTCACTGTAAAGGGACAGATGGTAAATCTTGTAAGCTTCTGTCGGCCATAGGGTCTCTGTTGCAGATACTCAGCTCTCCCATTGCAGCACAGAAGCAGTCCTTGTCAGTATGTAAAGATAATATGTAAAAGCTTGTGAATGCTGAAATTTGAATTTCATATGTTACAAAATAAATTCTTCTTTTGATTTTTTTTTCAATCATTTAAAAAATACTAATGCCAATCTTAGCTTCTGAGCTATACAGAAATAGGCAGTTTTCCCCCTGGGCCATAGTTTGTCACCCCAGCCTAGAGCTCTCTCTTTCTTTTTTTTGGGGGGGATAAATTTTAAAGATTTTATTTATTTATTTGACACAGACAGAAAGAGTACAAGCAGAGGGAGTGGCAGGCAGAAGGAAAGGGAGAAGCAGGCTCCCCGCTGAGCAGGGAGCCCGATGCGGAACTCGATCCCAGGACCCTGGGATCATGACCTGAGCCGAAGGCAGCTGCTTAACCGGCTGAGCCACCCAGGCATCCCAGGGGGGATAAATTTTAAACTACTGACCCTTTCTTTGGTGATTCTAGGCCCATTTAGATTTTCTTTTCTTAAACCAATTATATTTTTGAAATAGTGTCCACATAAGCATAAAGTTGTTCATGAAGTGTGCTTATGATTTAAAAAGTCTCTGTGGTACCTCTGGTTATGCCTCTGTTTCAGTGCTAAAATCATTTATTTGTGCTTCCTCTGCTCCTTTTTTATAAGTCAGTCTTTCCTGAAGCTTATCTAAATTTTTCCAGGGGGCACCTGAGTGGCTCAGTTGGTTAAGCGTCTGCCTTCGGCTCAGGTCATGATCCCAGGGTCCTGGGATTGAGCCCCAAGTCAGGCTCTCTGCTCAGCCAGAAGTCTGCTTCTCTCTCTCCTGCTGCCCCTCTCCCGCTCAAGTGCACGCACGTGCGCGGGGTCTCTCTCTCACTTGCATACTCTCAAATAAATAAATAAAATCTTAAAAAAGTTATTTATGTACTTATTTGAGAGAGAGTGAGCGAGAGAGAGAGAGCACACACAAGTGGGGGGAGGAGCAGAGGGAGAGAATCCTCAAGTAGACTCCCTGCTGAGTGTGGAGCCCGATGCAGAGCTTGATCTCACGACCCTGAGATCATGACCTGAGCCGAAATCAAGATTCAGTTGCTCAAATAACTGAGCCACCCAGGCACCCCAGTAACTTCTTCCTTTTATTAAGATGTAAGTGTTACAAATTTATGTGTGAAACTTATGGGAAAAGCTATACGCTTACCCCCTTGAATTACATGGTGCTTAAACCATCCCTCAGGTAACATCTTCCTTTCATTAAGGTCTAAGTCTTTTTCAACCTATGTTTAGAAGCATATGGGAAAGGCCTGTGCTAAGTCTTTGGAACTACACTGTGCTTAGATGGCCACTCAGTGACAGTGTTCAGTCTTCTAGTACATGTGTTGAAGGTTATGTTTTCTCCAAGTACGTTTTTAGCTGCATGCTGTAAGTTTTGACATTTGGTATTTGCTACCTTTATATACTGATTTCTAATTTTACTGACTTATGTTCAGAGAATGTGGTCTGTATTGTATCTCGTCTTTAGTACTTGTTGAGATGTGCTTTTTATCTATTTTGGTAAAAATCCCATGGATGCTTGAAAAGAATGTGTAGCTGCTAACATTTGGGCATAACTAATCTCCATAGATACATTACTTGTTGACTGAGTTGTTTATATCCTCTATAATCCTTATTAATGTTTGGTCTGAGAGAGACAATTTATTATGTCTTTGGATATATTTTGTGCTTTGGATATATTTTGTGCTGTATTTTTATACTTTATGCTGAGAGAGAGGGAGTCACTCTCAGACTCCCTCAGCCCTAATGGGATTTACCATCTTGCATTATAACCACTTGTTTAACTGCCCCTCTATTGGAATCTGAGCTTCTTAAAAGCAGGGACTGTGTCACACTGTGCCTAGCAAAAGAAGGTGCTCAGTAAATATTTGGGAAGCAAATGAATGGCCAATAAATAAGTAGAGAAGTTCCCAGAGGGCATATAATATCTCCTTCTAGCAGCTGGTAGGTACTGACTGGGCATGCTGGAAGGAAGGCAGTTTGGCCAGCAAGCTCCTCAGGAGGTCATGTCAGAGCTGCACCCAGAATGGCTCCTGTGAGGGTAATAGGCCGTTTCCAGGAAACAGGTCCCACAGGCACGGCCTCCTCAGGTTGACAGAGTTGACAGAGTGGTGGTCTCCCTGGGGTCCCACTGTGCCAGGGAAGCTATGGGCCTTCTAAGGCATCTCTTCCTGCCTACCATAGGTACGAGTTCTCCAGAAGGAGCTCGCTGCGTCCGCCTCGGAAGACACACACCCCTACAAGGAGGAGCTGGAGACGGCCTTGGAGCAGTGCTTCTACTGCCTGTACAGCTTCCCCAGCAAGAAGAGCAAGGCCAGGTACCTGGAGGAGCACTCGGCCCAGCAGGTGAGGGTGCTGCCCAGACCCCCCGCACTTGCCCCTGCGCAGAGGAGTGGGGCTCAGAGAAGCAGGGGCTCTGAGCACTCTTTAAGGACATCAGACGCATAGCTCTTGCACCAAAAGAATGAGACTGGTCTGACATAGTCTGATCACAGGAAAAGGGTTTTTCTTGCAAAAACTACCTTCGCAAATGTTGACTAATCATTCAAAAGTGCAGCATGGCAATTTTCAAAGGATTTCTTTTTCCAATTTGGATAATACAAATAATTCTTTAGAGGTTTTCATTTGTTCTTGTTTGGTTTTCAGAGCAGTGTTGGGTATATTACCTCATGGCTCGTCATTTATTCTCTAATCTTACCAATTCCATCCCCTGAATGTAAGCTACTTGGGCAGGGCCCCCACAGGGCACCATACAGAATGCAGAACCATCCTGGTCCAGAGCAAGCAGTGGAGTAGCTGAGGCTCATGGAGAGGGTCAGTGGCCTAGCCACAGTCCCCACTCGTGCTTGAACCTACCCTCTGGCTTGGCCACATGGACTCACAGAGTGCGGCCCTCAGTTTCCAATATTTGTCTTTATCAAGGCCCGGGTGTATGCCAGTTTGCTTTTCTGCTCTTCAGATGTTTGGTTTCGGGGATTACAGTGGGTATGCAAAATTTTAAGGGTATACAGGTCTGTTTCTAAACTCTAATATGTTGTAACTTCATCTGTGTTTTTCCCATGGAAGAACTTTTCCCTTTCTGCTTTTACCCTGACTGCATTATGATCTGCCTTCTGTCTTTTCTCAAGGTGGACCTTATATGGGAGGATGCCCTGTTTATGTTTGAGTATTTTAAGCCCAAGACCCTTCCTGAATTTGACAGCTACAAGACCAGCACTGTGTCTGCTGACTTGGCCAACCTTCTGAAGAGAATCGCCACCATTGTACCCCGCACAGAAAGGCCAGCGCTGAGCCTAGACAAAGTCTCCGCCTACATTGAGGGTGCCTCAACTGAGGTAGAAACTGTGTGTGATGGGGCTGTGTCCTGTCATTTTTTTCCTCCAGCATTGCTGTTTATGCACCTTGGCTTCTTTCCTTGCTTTATACCAGAAGTCAGGGCCATGAGAAGCCTAGGGTCTGTCCTGTGCTAATGTGAATGGTCCTGTGTTTACAGCATGACTGGTCACATCTGAGACCCTGACTCCATCTCTCCTTATCCTTGGTCCTTCACCTGCTAGGTGCCCTTCCTTCCAGAAGGGGCCGACCCCTCCCCTCCGGTGGTGAATGAGCTCTACTACCTCCTGGCTGATTACCATTTCAAAAACAAGGAGCAGTCCAAGGCCATCAAGTTCTACATGCATGACATCTGTATCTGCCCCAACAGGTCAGTGGCCTGGGCATTAGGCCAGGCAGGGAGGGCTGGGGTGACTCCAGCTCAGCAGGCTCCTTACTGGGCCAGTTTGGGGTTTCCCTGCCCCAGCAAAGAGACCAGGGAAAAAGGAATGAGAAAGTGTGTTTAGCAATCTGCAGTTTTGGGGAAAGGCAAGTTCTTCATAAAAAGAAGAGCAATGAAGAAGGCTTCTTTCCAGAAGGTGCCTGGGATGAGTGTTGGGATCAGAGAAGGTATGAGCTGTCCATCTGGGTCCAGGCCAGCAGGGGAAGGGGATGCCACCTGGCTCTATCCTGTTGGTTGTGTGCTGCCTCCTTTCCTGGCTCCTGGCCCCGGGAAGTGGGCTGATGTGCTCTATGTGTCTTTAGTTATGGTTGTTTCCTTATTTGGGGGTAAGGGCCCTACTCATAAAGTCTGATTCATTTGATTGAGAGGGAACATTTTCTCACGGCTACCACACCTAGGAGGTTAGCCTGGGGTCAAGGTAAGCCTTGTGTCTGAAGGGTCCAGAGTAGTATCTGTAGGTAAGTACTCAGGGGCCAGGCCACAGTGGCTGCCCACCCTCAGGCGAAACCGGCAAGCTCCATCTTGTCAGGATCCACCTGGCCCAGGGGAGAGGGGCTGGGATCTGAATGAAGAAATCAGTTTACACAACTTCTGTAGCTTGGGGGAAAGGTTCTCCCAGACGCCCTATTGCTCGGCCTCTGGTTTCCTCCAGGCAGGGAGCCATGTGCCAGTGGCCCTGGATGTCCTCTCTGGAGTCACTGTGGGCCAGTGTGGTGGCTAGAGCTGTGAGCACTAGACCGCGAGCAGTCACCTCCTTTGTACTGCTACCTCCATGTCTGAAAAGTAAGGGTGATAAAACCCACCTATCCATGGGGAAGTGGGAGCTTGGCGTGGCACCTCTCACCCAAAAGCCACTTGGGCTACAAGACGAGGTTCATGACGGCTCAGCGGGGCCTCATTCGAACCTATACATGCACCTGTTCAGAGCCCTGCCAGAGAGGTGGGAGGTCCTGTGAGGACTGGCCCCAGGGCCAGGAGGAACTTGGTGGCCCACTCCTGGGCCTCCTTCATTCCAGCCCTACGTAGCAGGCAGATGTCAGGGACAGCTTGGGCTCAGTCTCATCTTCTGTGCTAGTTAAGATGGAAGTTTGGATACTGGTTTTTTCTTTACATCTTCTGAGCCCTCTAGGTACAGGTGAAGCCCATGACAGACAGCTGGGTGGATGGTGGAGTGTTCCGGCCACAGTGTTTGTTGGTGGTTCCTGTGGGGAAAAGAGTCTTGTGAGGATGCTAGCAACAGCTTTTCTTGACCTGTGTTCATTTCACTCTTCCATCTGCTCTTGCTCAGCTGAGATTGGGCCGCCTCGGCCAGGCATTTCATAGAGTGGCATTTGGGGGAACAAGATGGGAGTAGGCCACAATACAGCTCATCCGTCTGCCAAAGAAACAACTCTGGGTCCAGTGCTAGGAGCAGGCCTGCCCTGTATGAGTCTAAGAGCCCAGCGCACAGGTTCTGGGCACTTCCTCCTCCTGAGTTCATGGCATCACTGGCCCTTGGGCTGGACCCCATTGTCCCTGTGGGTCAGCATTCCCCAAGTGTGGGTTGTGCACTGCTCTGCTAGGATCAAGAACCCATGGCAGGACTTTGTTTTTGTTGACACATAGAGGAGCATTTTGAGGTTTTATGATGATGTGTCTATGTTCTTGGTTACTCATGTTTGTGACTGCACATAGTGTTTTCCATTTGGCTACTCCTGCAGGCTTTTGGGCATACACCGTGATGTAGTCCTTTCCCTCAAGGCAAGGGCAAAGGGAGTTGCTGAAGGCTCAATGTGGAAGGAGCTGGCCCTGGTAGAAAGTCCCTGACAGGGTTCCCACCATCTGGAGGGGAGCTTAACACCTACGCCCATGCTTCCTCCTGGAGGTGACCTGAGCAGAGCCCTGGATCCCCAGGCCCTGAGGAGGAAAGGGTACACTCGGGACCTCCACACAGGGGCCGAAGCCTTCTTTTTTGCTATCTCTGGTTACCATTTAAGCCTTCAGGCCACTTTACTGCTCCTTTGTTTGCACTTTCTCATCTCCAGGTGCCTGGAGTATGGCAGAAGCACATGTGAGCTTCGTAAGTTTGCTGTGTCCCTACATAATGCCTTGGAGACTGTCAAATAGTCCAGGAAGCCAGTTAGCCAGTTTTAAAGTTAGTGTAGCAGTGGGTCAAGAATTGTTAGTGTTCATGGAGGGTAGCATCTGTCATGTGATTGCTGCCTTTTCTGTTGTCTGTACTTGCACTCAGGAAATTTCACTCTCCCAAGTGCCCAGAAATCATCTTAGCCTTGGTTTCCATCTCAGAGAACCTTCTGCATTTTCCCTACCACTTTCTTTCAGGCGATCTCAGAGCAGTGGGGTCTTAGCCATCCTGTGGTCCCCTCGCTCTCATCTTACTGCTGGGAACTCAGCTGGAGAGGGCAGGATCTGGTCAAGGTGCCAGAGGGAGAACTATGTAGAAGCTACCTGGTTGTGTTTTTGGGGTCTTGGCTGCCCCATGCTTTTGGTCAGTGAATGTGTTGATGCCGGTGCTACCAGTGAGGGGTTAGGTGAGGTGTCAGCAAGATGGGAGCCTCCCTATCACCTTGGATGGGCAGTGCTTTGTAAAGCACCCCTTTTCCTTTCCATCAGAGACATTCTATAGGTAAGCTTTCCAAGCAAGGAAGCAAAAGGGAGCAGAGTCCAAGAGCCCACAATGCTGGTGAGCACAATTTGGGCTCGAGTTGGTGGGGATCCTCTTAGAACACTTACTGAGTACCTGTGAGGTGCTGGATGACCTAAGATACATGTCTTGTGGTGTCCCAACAGCTCTGCTCTCTTGAGGTGGGTTTTCTTTTTTTTTTTCTTTCAGATTTTTATTATTTATTTACTTGAGAGAGAGTGAGTGAGGGAGAGAGAGAAGGAGCACGGGGAGGGGCAGAGGGAGAAGCAGACTCCCTGCCTAGCTGGGAGCCTGATGTGGGGTTCGATCCTGGGACTCCTGGATCATGACCCGAGCCGAAGCCAGATGCTTAACCGACTGAGCCACCCAGATGCCCCACTGAGGTGGGTTTTCTTAGCCATATTTCATAGCTCAGAGACATGGTGTCACTGGGTGGTGGAGCTAGGCTCTGGGCCCTGGCCTGGGAGACGGGCTCCCACAAATCCCCGGGGTCACCGCCCTGCAGGCTATCATGTCTGCAGTGCTGTAAGGGCAGTGGTGTGTTTACTGGTGCTTTTGTCATGACCACAGGTTTGATTCCTGGGCAGGCATGGCTCTGGCCCGGGCCAGTCGCATTCAGGACAAGCTGAACTCCAATGAGCTGAAGAGTGATGGGCCCATCTGGAAGCATGCCACGCCTGTCCTGAACTGCTTCCGGCGGGCCCTGGAAATTGACAGCTCCAACCTGTCCCTGTGGATCGAGTATGGTACCATGTCCTATGCCTTGCACTCCTTCGCCTCACGCCAGCTGAAGCAGTGGAGAGCTGAGCTGCCCCCTGAGCTCGTGCAGCAGGTGAGGCGGGGCTCTGCAGAGGAGCTGCCATCCTGCTATCTGACTAAAGTGCCCTCAGGTGGCAAAGTTCTGTCCTATCCATTCCTTGCACTTGTCCTCACAACCCTGCTGGGAGCTCACAGATGATTCTCCTCATGAGACTGAAGCCATACTGTGGTCAGTGACAGCTTGGTCCTTGGTCTTTAGACACCTAGTCTGGTGTGGGTGAATTTAGGGCCAGGCTCTTGTGATCTAGCTGGTCAGCCATCAGTTTCCCGGCAGTGGAGAAGCAGGGGAGGGGTGTTGGCCACCAGAAGTAGTTGTGTCTCTTCCCTGTTCCTTCAAAGGAACTTCCTGAGTCCTTGTAAAATTTTTGACACTGTGTTGGGAATTTTGAAGTCCGTCTTGGTAGGGGGTTCCCCTAGTGCAAGTCGCTGGGTGTCTAGCCTGAGGTGTCTGTTGAGCAGGGCACCCTTGTCTCCTCGACTTGGAAGTGAAGGAGTCCCACCGACATGTTTAAGGCTGATGTGGCAATAAGATTCCATGGTCCAGAAGGGTTTCTAGGAGAGCAGAGTGCTGAAGGGGACTGTTTCTTGTAGTGATCATATGTGGTCAAAATCCAAACAAGATAATGGCCTTGTTAATGCTGCCATTGGATTGTTATGGGAACTCAGTGAGAGCAGCCTGGTCAGTGGGGCCGTCCTGACAGCCCCTTCGTCCTTGAGATTAGGCCTCCGTTATCATGCCCAGCTCCCTACCCCCGGCCCCTGTGACCCTTCAGAGGCAGGTCACAGGCTTCCAGAGTGCTTGGCCTCGTGATGACCCTGACCTTCCCACATTGTGCTAAGTAGGGGAAGTCCTAGCCTTGTGCAAGGAGGTAACAGCTCTTTGTTGCTTTTACTGATTTTATATAGAAATGAGGTGTCCTTAGCGTTAAAAATTCAATTGGTATGGAAAAGCGTAAGTGGGAATGTAATAATGACATAAATGTCACCCTACCGCAGTGGCCCCTTTTGTACCTGGGCGACATCCTTACCCACTAGCAGGGGTGTGAGGGGGATGAGCTGCTGTTTGAGGGCAATCAGCTCTAGCAAAGAGTCACAAAGCGAATCTACTCACAATGGGACTCAGTTATCCTAGTGAACAGTGCCTACAAGGTGTGATTGGGACTTTATCTTAGTAATTAAAGAATGATGAAATTAACTCCTAAATCTTACCTTACTAGGACTTTGGTGATAATTGCAAGGATGTGTTAATTCTTCAAATGAACCAGGAATGACTGAGTTTGGTTGGCTTGGGGGGAGCTTAATTTTCCAACAGTTTTATGCTAGCATGCTATGATGCCCCTTCACCTCAGCAGCATAAATTTACGCAGCTACCTTTGCAGAAATATTCGAGGGCTACTTCCCTTTCACAGGATTCTCTGATGTCTTTGTGCCTTAGAAGAGTGTCTTACGGTCTTTTCCTTGACCAGTTGTCCTCCCTTTGGGTGATTGTCAACCATGTTAAATGTGCCTGGTGCTCATGTATAAAGGCTTTGTCCACCTTACTTTCTTTTTTTTTTTTTTTTAAAGAGTTTATTTATTCATTTGAGACACAGAGATAGAGAGAGAGAGAGCATGAGCAGTGGGAGAGGCAGAGGGAGAGGAAGAAGCGGACTCCCCGCTGAGTCAGGAGCCCGATGTGGGGCTCGATCCCAGGACTCTGGGATCATGACCCGAGCCGAAGGCAGACGCTTAACCATCTGAGCCACCCAGGCGCCCCTGTCCACATTACTTTCATCAACTTCATGAAATCCCACATCTTTTGCAAAATTTGCCATTTACCTTTGCAGTAGATCTGCATTATACCATCAGACTAGGTATAGAAATCAGCAAGAGACTGGCCACAGAATGAAGGGAGTGAGCTGGGTGGGGATGGGTGTCAGTGAAAGCGCTGGGGGACTATGCTAGAAGAGCACGAGTGGAATCCGAACGTTCCCATGCTGTCGTGACTGCCGTGGGGGCCTCGGAGTTGACACACGAGGTCCTGCCGGACATTGGAGTGCTATACGGTACACTTTGAGAAAGCCGCAAAAAGGCTGAAATCCTCTTTTCTCTCCACACATTTCCTGGTCTCCACATGTCACCCACACTTGGCAAGGGCGACCTGGGGCTCTACCTCAGGGTGTTGTTTGAGGAATGCCAGTGACTTCACCTTCTTCCCATGAGCTCTGCATGCCACTGCCCGTGCACCCAGAGGGTTGTCTCAGGGGGCCGGACTCTGGGCACCTCGGCCCTAAGGTTGTCCCTCTCTCTGTCTCTGCCCGGAGTGCATGAACCCTACGGGCCAGTGAGAACAGTAGCTCCCCCACGTGACTGGGCATCAGAACCTTTCGGGGGGAGTGGGGAGCTTGTTAAAAGGCCACATCAGGGACTCACAGTCAGAAGCTGCCCTTGCGCAGGCTCCCTGGGTGAATTAAACATGGTATCCCATGGACGAGCCTGGCACCAGTGGCAGAGGACAAAGGTGGTGGCAGGAAGGGTAGTGTGGCCACGGGGCAAGGACAGGTTCTGTGACAAGGCCAAACCCTGGAAGAAAATGGGCGAGAGCAGAGCAGCCTGGCCCTTGTTTTAACCATCGCCTCCGTTATAGAAACCACTCTTCACTCATAGAAGAAACACCTTCTTTAAAACAACTGCCCCAGTAGGACAAAGATAAAATCTTTTTGGCTCCTCCCCATCCCCCACCCCCCCTTCTAGTCCCTGCTTCAGAGCAACTTACAGTTAGGCTTGTATCTTTCCAGACTTTAAACAAACACTCTTTCTTATATATACATGTACTCCTGGAAAGAATGCCGTTATTTACCTGTTCTTTTCTTCTAGCCTAAATGCTGTCATGCTGTGTATGGCGTTGAGCTTCCTTTTCATTCAGCACCATGTTGTTGAGTTCTACTCACGCCATGCAACCCTCTTTCATTGTGACATCCCTACGCAGAGGCCCCTTGCTCCACTCTGTTTCTAGTGTAGTGGCCCCAGGGCTGAGCAGGCTCGGAACTAAGTCCCTGGTAGCACCAGGAACACTTGTTACCCTCTGCTGGGACTCGCTGGGGTGGGTGGGGCACGGACCTTGGGATTCTTTCTCTAATCCTCCACCAGTGAAGCCCAGTAGGATTTAGCAGAATAGAGGTTTTCCAGGAAGTAAATATGATGAGAAATCAGAGTGCCCTTTCTGCCATTGGTACTTGAAGGTTTTGTTTGTAGAGCTCCCCAAGAGGAGTGAACTTTTGGCTCCCCCAGGAAGGGGCAGGGAAGGCAGAAAGTGGGCGACAGACAGGAGACCCAGGTTGACTCCCTGCACACCTCTTCCCCTTGCCTATTCTTTCTCTTGCATAGTTCGTGGCCTCTGTGGCTGAACTCCATTCTGATCCTCTGGAAGCCAGTGGCCCAGGTAGTTCAGGGCCTGAAACTGGGCTCCCAGGCCATCTTGCCAGAGTGTTGGGGGTGGTAGGAGAGAGATGGAAATCCACCAGGCGTGCCGGTGTCCCAGTAGGCAGGGAAGGAAGGAGGTTTTGCATTGTTGCCCAGGGTGAAAACTGCCTCGCAGGGCTGCCCTGTGCCTCCTGTTTTTTTTTTCCTCCTCTAGGTAAGGCAGTTTCCTACCCTGAAGTATGTCATGGGGACACAGCCCCTTGGTTGCTAGAGCGGTTTGGGTTTATTGTGTCTGATCAGATGAGCTGTAGGACACATGTTGATAGCTGTGCACTTTAGCTTCTGCCTGCAAACTTGCCAAAGGGGTGTGTTACAGGAAAACCAGTGGTTTCCCTTGTCAATTCTCAGGCGAGGGCAGAGGCTTTGGAGCCAGAGCCTTCTAGCTGTGTGGCCTGAGGGAGGAACTTGATGTCCCTGCTGTGGTTTTGGTTGTAAGAAGGCTGACCGTTTCTCCTGTGTGGCAGTATGGTGAGAACTGACATCCCCTTAGCCCCTCTCATGGGCCGGCCCTGGGCCAGGCACCCTGGCCACGAGGTGAATGAGGTGCCACAGCGGCAGGTGCACATCTCGCTGCACCTGTCCTTACAGGTGGTGTGAGGTGTCTGGCAGAGCTCTGGAACATGGCGGACCCTCGGTGGCTCTCCCTTCTGTTCCTGTCTGAAGTGTTGTGACCGCCGCACCTACTGAGGACAGGGACACTGGCAGCATGTGTTTTATGTGGGGGAGGGAGGGGCTTGGCCTCTTGGTGGGGATCTGTGTGGTACCAGACCAGATGGGGCGCTTCACAGTTGCCCTTCCTTTCTCAGTAGGTGGCTTTATGAGCCTCGGTAGCAGAGCTGGGTGGGCAACGGGCTAGTGACTTGGTTGAGGCTACATGGCTACAGAGCAGTCAGAACAGGACTCCAGTGAAGTGGCTGCCTTTTGCTTACATAGATCTGCTACAGAATCCTATTTTGGAGGGGTACGATGGGGTCACTTGGCTTGTGCTGTGTCCTGGCTCTCCACTGTGATTCTTCCTATCGTATCTCACCCATTGATGGTGTCTTGATTCCTAGGTGGTAATTTTCTTTCCCAAGACGTGTTTGACGGAGCACTGGGGTTCTTTGTGCCGGCCCCAGGGCCATTGCTGCAGGAGATTCCCGTAGCTCAGTGCCCGCTGCATAAACGTTCGTAGAGTAGCCTTCCTGTGCTCAGTGGGGCATGGGTACTCCTCCCGTAGGCGGCAGGCAGCGCCCTTGCCAGAGCTTAGCGCCTGCAGCCTCTCCCTTCCTCTGGGCCCCGAGACGAGACTAGAAGAGGTCGCCGCTTCCCTGCTGTCGAGCTAGGGCCATGGAGATGAGGGGCCAGAGACCTGGGCTTCTGGGAATAGCAGCCCCTCTAGCCCCACACAGGCAGTCTTCATTCCAGGTCCTAGCCCAGGAGCTCTGGGATGAAGGGACGCGGGCACATGATGGCTGACATTCCACGTGGATAGCACCCAGGTGCTGGCCCGTAGCCCTTATACAGGGCCTGGGAAAAGTGATCCTCTGAGTTGGAAAGCATCTTAGAAGCTGATCCTCTGTCCTAGCTGTTTCCACCCTTCAGTGTGCGAGAGGGTGGCTGGAGGCACAGCTCCAAGGCCAAGGGTGTTGGATGGGGCTCAGGAATCTGCCATTTTGTAAGCACCCTGGGTCCCTCTGGAAGGGTGCGGAGGACAGGGTGGGAAGTCCCGTGGTACCCTCTCCAGTGCTGTGTTGCTGGGTGTTGGGTGCACACCCTGTCCAGCTCTGCTTTCCCACCCTAGTGAGCGCGGGAGAGAACGAAGCACTCATCAGAACATTGGTGCTGGCTCTTGGCATTCTCAGACCGACACAGCAGAGCTGCTGTTGGCCTGGTTCTCCTGGCAGCCCTGGCCTCGTGCTGGCTCCCCCTCCCAGGCAGAGAACCTCACTGCAGCCGTAGTGAGGGTCACCGTTGGGACCTGTAGAAGGGGATCAGGAGGTATTTCATAAACTCCTGAACTGTGTGGGGCAGATCCTGCAGGGGGACGGTAAAAGAAAGGACACTGGGGTTGACATGAGGAGAGGTTTCAGTCCAGCTCTGTGCCTTACTTGAGGTGTGCCTCGCACGGGTCCCATGGCCTCTCCACACTCAGTGTCCCCAACTATGAAATGGTGATGGCACTTCTGTGTGTCAGTCTCATTGAGAGGATGGTAGCTTTGCAAAGAAGACAGCAGGGCCTCCCGAAGGATAAGGCGTGGGCCTGTGCAGTTTCGGGCCCTGGGCCTGGCCCAGCCTGGTCTCGCGCTCTCATTCCAGATGGAGGGCCGGCGCGACAGCATGCTGGAGACAGCCAGGCACTGTTTCACGTCCGCGGCCCGCTGCGAGGGCGACGGTGACGAGGAGGAGTGGCTCATCCACTACATGCTGGGCAAGGTTGCTGAGAAGCAGCAGCAGCCACCCACTGTGTACCTGCTGCACTACCGACAGGCCGGCCACTACCTGCACGAGGAGGCCGCGCGCTACCCCAAGAAGATCCACTACCACAACCCGCCTGAGCTAGCCATGGAGGCCCTGGAGGTGACACCGTACCGGCCCCGGGCGGGGAAGCAGGGCAGGGGCGGGCCGGTCTCCCTGTCTCCCTGGGGATGGGGCATGAGGTCCCAGTGACTCCCATGCAGCCTGTTGGAAACTTCTCTGTGTTCAGCAGCTCTGTGTGCAATGAAATTAAAGCAGCCTTTCCTCTCTCTTCGAAGGGATGCTTACCATCCTTTCTGGGGGAGTGAGTGTCTTTCTAAGGAGTGCCTTTCCTCCTTAGCACGTGCAGGTTGCCGGAACCTGATTCAGTGAGGACGTTGATGCGGCACAGCGTTTCCTGGTGCCCTTGTTTCCGGCGAGGGCACAGGCTGAGCCCAGAGCACGCAGCTTGGCAGGACAGGGCCGGGGCGAGAGGGAGGGGGGCTGCCTGCTCTCTTGGCCCCAGATTTGGGGTCTTGTGCTGCTCCTCAAGAGAAGAGCAGTTGTTTACTGCTCAGATTTGCTTTTATGATTTCTGGAGCACTTCACACCATGCTCTCCTCCGATGCTCAGGGCAGTGCTGGGAGGCAGGCTGGGAGACTGCAATCAGCATGTTTTGTAGGGAGGAAACCGAGTGCACGGGTGAGGATCCATGTATGCTTGGCCCGACCCAGACCTCTCTGCTTCCTGAGCACATTAGCTTTGCCCTTTCTGAGGCTGTGTGCCCAGCCCCTGCTGGTCTCCTATGCCAGGCAAGCTTTTTGGAGTTTGGGGCAGAATCTGCTTGCTTATTATGCCTTGTCTGCCTTGATGTTTTTTTTTCTGATTATAAAATTAACACATATTCGTGGTTAAAAAATATATAAGAATCCAACATTCACAAGTGTTTAAAATGAAAAACTAAAGTCCCTGGTGATCCTAGCCCCCCAACCCAATAATCCCTGTTAACAGTTTGGGCATGTCCTTATCGTTCTAGATTTTCCCCCTATTAACGTATAGATACACAGTAACATTTTATCATTTTGCACCTGGCATTTTTCACCAGACAAGATGTAGTGCAAGGTGTTGTGGGCTTCCTTCCCTGCCCCTGGGCCCTCCAGTCTGGCTGGATATCCATTTATTTGTCCAGTCCCTCCTTCATAGGTTTGGCCTTCTTTTCCACTTCTTCCTCAACAGGGTGCAGACGGGCTGGCCTGCATGTCAGGGAGCACTTACAGGAGTATTTCCAAGGGTCTTTTAATGTTGCATCCACAGTTTCTTATTGCTCTGAAAGGTTATACTGATCTATGAGCATGTCTGTTTTCCCTCAACCATGGTTTCCTCTTTTTAATATTTGCTAATTGTGTGAGCAAGCAAAAAAGTCTCATTTTTATAAATTTGCCTTGGAAAAATGGTTCGTGCTGAGTGGTTGGCAGCAACTGTCTGGGGGCCACATGCATAGGGTTCATGGTGAAATGTGGAAGCGCAGTTTCATACTGAGCATGTCTGTCTTCGGCAGCTTCCAGGTTGCTGTCATTCCCAGCCCCAGGTCCCACGTCCTTCCTATCACAGCTCTTTTGTGCTTTCCACTCAGGCACACGGGCCTGTCCCTGGAGGGACTTCCACTTTGGGGCTAAGGAGGCTGAGACCCAGAGAGCTGGTGTGACTTGCCCTAAGTCAGCAGCAGAAGAGAAGGGCGGTTAGGGCCGGCTCTCCTGAGCCCAGGGCCCCTGTGCAGCATCTCTGGTGTAGGGAGGTGGTCCAGCCCTCAGGAAAATGACAACTGGGTTTTCCTCCATGCTGTTTCTTTGACATTTGGCTTCTGCTGCCTAATGGAACCATTGAGCAGGCAGGATGGTATCCCTGTGGGGCCCTGGGACTTTGAGGTGAGGAACTGAGGCCTAGCGCACTGTGCTGGCTCTCAGGAGAATGAGCACTCAGCTGCTTTAAAAATGACATTTCTCTTAAGACTTTACCCCTGCCCTGGTGAAAATTCACCTTTGCTGTTGAACCTTCAGTCAGAATACTGAACCTGCCACTTGGTTAAACTTTGCCAGTTGAAACACTCTGCGCTTCTCCAGGAGGAGCCACCGGCACGTGTGTGGGGGCCTCAGAGGTTTTCTGCGGCCGAAGATGGACTTGGTGGGCTAATCACTCTGAGGGCCACAGGTGGGCTAGAGGTGGAGGGGCTCTGGGTGCGGGCGCCTCTGTCTAGGATGCCCCCTTGAGAGTGCTGCCCGGGTGGACCACCTGGCATCTCACCTGGGTGGGTCCTTGGCAGCATCTCTTGAGGACCACCTCTGGGTGAGGGGAGGCTGGTTAATCAGGGTCTGCAGCCACAGGGGATCCCAGTCTTGGTGACATCCTTTGTGCCATCTGTGGGAGTCTGTGCCAAAGGCGGGAGCCCCCATTGCACGCACCTCTGGGTGCGAAGGTCAGGCCAGGTCACTGTGGAGGTGCCTGTGTGTGATGCGGTGTACACTTGGGAGAAGTAGAGGGCAGGGGGGACCTGAGTTTAACCTGGCCCTGGGCTTTGCTGGCTGTGGGGCTGTGGGGCTTTGGGGCTTTGGGCAACTTACCTCACACATTTGTAAATGGAGGATTTCGGTGAGGACTCAAGGAAATGAAGAAAAGCACAGGCCCTGAATGGTGCAGCGTGCCTCCTACCCATCCTGCACCCCCGGGGCAAGATTTTCCAGGCCTATGGTACCTGGCTGGTCCAGCTGCGGGCACACAAACAGAAGTCAGCTGTTCTTCACTTCAGGGAGTCTGAAGTGCAGTGGGAGACAGGTGTGGAGGCTCCCTTTTTATGGGTGCCACGAGAGAGGCCCACAGAGGGTGGTGGGGGCTGTGGTAGGAGGAGGTGCCCAGTGAGCGGGGCTGAGGGTTGTTACTCTCATTGTCTTACCACCACTTGCCTGTGTTACTGGCTAAAAATTTAAGCTGGACCCCTGAGAGTTCGTGTCCATTTTAATTGTCAGAGCTTGCTTTGAATGACTTATAGGTTGGCTGGTTTAAAAGTGAGTGAAAAAAGGCAGTGTGTGGTGGCCTGTCTCCTTGGTCAGGGGCTCTTTTCCAATGTGGCTGACTGGCCTGTGGAATGAACCTTAGCAACTGGGAGGGCTGCTCACACCTGAGTATCATTCTCCTAGGTGTACTTCCGGCTCCATGCTTCCATCTTAAAGCTCCTGGGGAAGTCCGACTCTGGGGTCAGTGCAGAGGTCCTGGTCAACTTCATGAAGGAGGCTGCAGAAGGACCCTTTGCCAGGGGCGAGGAGAAGAATACGCCCAAAGCTTCAGAGAAGTGAGTAGCATGCTTTCACCCAGCAGCTTACCCCATATGTACCCTGATGGCTCATTTACCACAAAGTGGCATTCAGGGGACGTTGCTGCTGAGTAAATTAGAGCTCATTGAGCCTCTGTAACTCCTCTGGAGACTCCTGGTTGCTAGTCTGAGTTACTTCTGTTGAAACTGAGAAGGAGAGGCTGAGTGTGCAATTCCAGGTCACCTCGCGCTGGGGCCATGCCCAGTGCCACCCCACTCTCAGGGGCAGGTCCTAGGGAGAAGCCAGCTCCTTCCTTCTCCCCACTGGGACACAGCTCTGTCCTGTGCAGAACACTGTAGGAAAGCAGTTTTCACGTTTCAGGCTCTTACTCCTGGGTCCTTTTCCACAGCCTCTCCCAAGAGTGGGGCCTTGTTAGGGCCTGTGTGCTGCCTGTTCTTCCAAGAAGCAGAGAGGGGCATTGGAGGCTCTTCCTGTGGTGCCAGAGAGCGTGGGGATGCTAGGGCCATGGTGTGGTCCCTTCACTGGGCCAGGGAGGACCCCTGGGCCTCCCCTTGATTGTGGCCCAGACTTCTTTTGCCCCGGTATCCACATCTTGGAGCTTCGGCTCAGCTTGCCTCACCTCTGTGCCCCTACCTGGCTGGGCACTGTGCAGGGCTCAGCCAAGTGCCAGAGAGACCTGCGCCCAGGCTCTGTCCTTGAGGCCCATTGTCTTATGGGAGAGATGGGCATGCATGTGGCAGGTCACCCAGGTGGGTGCGATGTGCCCTAGAAATTATAGGTGTATACTTTTTAGTCACAAAGGGCCCCCTCGTATAATGATGTTCTCTTTTATTGATCGTAACTCTTTAAGAAAAAATTATTGGGGCACCTGGGTACCTCATTCAGTTAAGCGTCCGATTTGATTTCGGCTCAGGTCATGATCCCAGGGTCATGGGATTGAGCCCCGTGTTGGGCTCCACGCTCAGCGGGGAGTCTGCTTGGGATTCTCTCCCTCTCCCTCTGTCCCTCCCCCTCGCTCATGCACGTGCTCGCTCTCCCTCTCTCTCTCAAATAAATAAATCTTTTTAAAAAATTATTAAATTATAGGGGCGTCTGGGTGGCTTAGTCGGTTAAGCATCTGCCTTTGGCTCAGGTCATGATCCCAGAGTCCCAGGATTGAGCCCCATGTCAGGTTCCCTGCTCAGTGGGGAGTCTGCTTCTCCTCTCTCTGCCCCTCCCCCCACTCATGCTTTCTCTCTCACTCTCTCTCTCAAATAAATAAATCTTTAAGAAAAATTATTAAATTATACAAATAATACATGAATATATTCTAGTTGTGGAAAATTCTGGCAATATATAGGCTAAAATGTGACAAATCCCTTCTCGTCCCCAGAATTAGCCACTCTTCATAGTTTATTTTCTCAAATAATTATCTGTGCATTTACACACGCTTACATTTACACGTACAATTATAGAGTTTCTTTTATTTTATAAAAACAAACTACTGAAGGTACTATTCTAGAGTTTACTTCTCCCCTGACAAGGGGTCTGGGACCCCATCCATAGAGATAGTACCCTGCTCACTCCATTCTTTCTAGTGGCTCTCAGCAGTCTGTGGCTATGTATTATTACTTAGCATGGGTGCATCATGTTTTCTATAGCCATTTTGATGGAACATTTCAGGTGTTTCTAACTTTTTTGCTCAACAGTGTTGTAGCAGATATCCTTATACACATGGGAGCTTTCAGTAAATCCAGATGTTTTCTCTGTCTGCATCTTGTTGGGGATTAAATCTGTTAGGCCTCAGGCATCACATGGAAGGGTCCTGACTTGGCATGGAGGGGATCTGGGGTGGGTGCTTCTGAGGAAGGGCTTGTCAGCTCCCCTGCAGTCTCTCTGGGGCCTGGGGCCTGAGATGGTTGGACAGTGGCCAATTGGGGGCCAGAGCCCAAGTGGGTGCCATAGGGGCAGCTCCTTCAGCACCTTGGACCACCAGCCAGAGGGGCATGTCATCTGAGGTGTGTGGGAGCAGTGGGCCCTAGGAGGGCAGAGGAGGCCCGAGGACGCACTTGAAGGTGGCATGGGGTCCAGCAGTCAAGAAGGGCACTGTTTCAGACCAGCACATGTCCTGTTTCGGTGGGATGTAGAGATTCTGACCTGCACCCCAACCATCTTCCCACAGAGAGAAGGCCTGCCTGGTGGACGAGGACTCCCACTCTTCAGCTGGGACACTGCCGGGCCCCGGAGCCTCCCTCCCCTCCTCCTCTGGCCCAGGTCTGACATCCCCACCTTACACAGCTACTCCGATTGACCACGATTACGTCAAATGTAAAAAACCCCACCAGCAGGCGACGCCGGACGGTACAGTCCCTGTTCTCCCTACTGCCAGCCCAGGGCGGCACGCCAATCACGGGGGAGGGTGCTTCGGGTGACAATTCGCTTTGTTTTGGTGAGGGGGGGTGGCTGGGTCTGGGGTGACACGGGCAATGTTGCGGCTGTTCATTAACCTCATGGCCTCACGGTGATTCTGTGCTTCCAAAACATGCTCAGGGTTGCCACCTGCTAGCCCACCTGGGGGCTGGGAAGGGGCAGGACAGGCTAAGGCACCTTTCCTCTCTGAGACTCTGTGGACTAGCTGTCGGGGTCTGCAGGCTGCCTGGAGTGGCCTCTGTGCAGTCAGCCCAGTGATGCTGGCATCGTGCCTGCATTATTACGGCATGTCCTTCTGACGGCCGTGGAAAGGCTGAGTCTGTCACCCCTGGGAGTCCAGACGGGGGTGGTGGGAATCCGCTGGGACCATGAACGAGGCCGTCCCACGTGGGATAGGGCAGGTGGCGACCTTTGAACCACATTTCTTACTAACATTAGGAGGCTCGCATGCTGACCTCATAGCTTGATTTCTTCATGTTCTCCTCACCTTTACAGTGCTAGGCTGTGATAAAGTCTTTGCTGGAATGAGCCAAATCAGTGGCCCGAGAGGGTGTTAAAGTGGAGCCCTGTGGGGGGGGGCAGTGACAATGCCGACAGGCGCATAGGCCCTCATTCACAAGTCAATGATCGCATCAGGCTGTGGGGAAACAGGCCTTGCCCTGCCTTTCCCAAGGCGTGGGACACCCCTCCCCCATGGCATGGGGTCCCGGAGCTGGTGTGAGAGGGGTGTGAGAGCAGGGTCAGGGAAGCACTGAGGGAGAGTGGGCGGGCTGGGATTTGGTGATCTGAGAGGAGAGGAGACTTGCAGCGCCCCCTCCTTGGTCCTGCTTGGCCTGCGGGGAAAGTGTGGGGAGACCAGTGTAGAGCTGAGTGAGTGCGTGCTGCATGACTGCGTCACCTCCCTGTGCCCCAGAGGGCCAATTCAGTCCCGCACGCAGCCTGAGCAAGGTCCTGCTCCTGCTTGCTTAACCCGAGTTCAACAGGAAAACTTCCCTGTTCCCCACCTTTTATCAATCTGCTCTGCAAGTTAGTCTCTGCCAGGTACTCCTGTGACAATTGAACCTCATGTCAGCTTTTGTGAGAAAGGAGTGCCTCTCGTAGCTGTACACAGGCCTGTGGCCGGCACCCCTCCCAGCCCTGCAGGTTCGAGCTGAGCTGGGGTTGCAGGGCCTGGGTAGCAGGAGCCCCTAGAGCTGAAAGTGGCTCCCCTGGTGTGGGCACACCCCGGGAGCAGAGAGGAAGGGAGGCAGGGAGGGGCCGTGATGCCACCTGGCACCGCTGCCCAGCTGTCCCGTGCACGTGGAGCTGTAGGGAAGCAGAGCGTGGAGGGCAGGCACTGGTGTGACATGGCCTGAGTGCCAACATAATGGTTATTTGTTCTGGAAGTTTGCAGACGGAGCCATACATAAAAGCTCAAATATCATTTTAGTGGTTGTCCATTTTTCAATGATGGTAAAAAAAAATATTTTTTTCAAAGTGATTTCTGTCAATGATGTGGCACCATGGTATACCTTCACCCAGTCCCAGCCCAGTGTGCCAGGAAGCTCTGAACTAGCCCTGTTGTGCTCCACACAGGCCTGGCTGCATAGTGCTTTCAGAATTCCTGCCCTCCTCACCGCAGAAAGAAAGCAGTGTCTGCAACAGGAAAATGTTTGGGCCCTAAAATAGCCATGCTCTTAGAATGTTAAAGTGGCCCTTTCAGCCGTTATAATAGCTCCTAGGGAAAGGCCCTGGCTCTGGCCGGAGCAGCGGACTGCTCGTGTCAGGGGATATGCTGGTAGCCTCAAGGCCTGCCCACCTCTGCTCCTGCCTCCCGTGACCCAGCCAGGGCTGGCTAACTAGCCCTAGGAGGAGAACGTGTGGCCTCCCACTTTCCATACAACTCCTCAGCCTGAGACCAGCCTCCCTTGTGGTAGCATGGGGCATTAGTGCTCACTCTAGGCCATAGCTGAGCCTTTCTACAGGAAGGCTGGTGGGTGCTTCTAGCCCTGGTACCGACCAAGAGAAGCAGTTCAGGGACCCACTCGAGCTCAGACAGGGAGGCCAGGGCAGAGCAGGCCTTAGAGTCAGGGGGATCTGCATTTCAATCCCAGCCCCACTACTACCTTGCTTGGCCACCATGGGTAAGGGACTTCCCTCTGAGCCTGTTTCCTCACCTGGAGAATGGGAGTAATGTTCTTGTCATGGGTGTTAAAGGAAGGTGTGCACAAATTGTAGCCACATCCTAGACAAAGTCAACCCCCGGCCACCAGAGTTGGCACAAGGGCCATGCAGCACCGCACAGCGGGAGGAGCCTGGGTCTGGGGCCAGTCATCCTTGGTTTGTACCCTGTCTCTCTCAGGCCAGTGGTGTGGCCTCAGAAGAGGGGCAGGCAGTGTCCTTGGAAGCAATAGCCCCCGAGTAGACCTGGGCCTCCGGCTTTCTGGGCCCAAGTCTCATGCACCCTGAAGCCTGTCAGAGGCTAACTTGTTACCAACTAGACAGGGAGCCAGGCATTAGGACTTCCCTTGGGGACAGTTAGGATACCCTGCCTCCGAGCTGCCCTTCTACTTTTGTATACCTGTGCTTCAAAATCAGAAATCAGCTGGGGTCAATTCTTATTTGGTGTAAATCTTTAAAAGAGATTTAGAAAAATAGCTTCACAACATTTCGTAATGGCTTCTTAGTGGGACCCAGATTTGCTGTCTGGACTGGCCCCGCCTGCACCCTTGTGCCATCCTACACTAGCGTTGGGAGCTTCCTACAGCCTGTCCACAGCTCTGGCTAAAAACCCTTGGTACTGGCCCTTTAGTTGCTCTGAGACTTCACCATGGTCAGGTGTGAAAGCCAGCCCTTCTCAGGGCGGCTGGGAGGGTGCCCACAGCTGACCTGAAGAGGGGCCCTTTGGCTAAGCTGAGAGAGAGACCGAGACAGAGGATGAACTAAGTCATGGCTGCCACTATTGGCAACCGTGCCTGACCCCCTCCTCCCTGGCTGCCTTATTTCTCCCTGCCATCTTGGGACTTGTCCAAAGTCCTGAAATCCTTAGCGTTAACACTTCCTGACCAGGAAAAGGAAATCACATAGGGAATACATTCTGACCCTCAAGAGGCTCCCAGTCATTGCTGTTTACACATGTTCAAACATAGCATAATGAGATTTCTGAACAAATTCTATAACCCCTCTCTGGCATGGAGTATGTGAGCGTGTGTGTGAGTAACAGGGCCCCACCACACAGCAGTGTATGTTTGCTCTGGGCTGGACTCTGGGAGAGGTGCCTGGGGTCCCATTCTCACAGCTGCCCTGCGGGCTTGGCCACGTGTCTGGTTTCCCAGGAGGAAGCCGAGCTGAGGGCAATTGGGCACTCATCTAGGGCTGCCCACCTAGCTGGGGTGGAGCCAAGGGAGAATTGGGGTCTGAGTCTCCTTCCACCCCAGGCCAGAGAAGGCTAACACTGGGAAGGTCCTGTATTTGCTGACCTGATGGAGACTGGATCTGTGTGCATTTCCCTGCTTTGCTTGTTGGAGGTGTGTCAGTAGCAGGGCCCAGGGAGCAGGGTTGTTAACAGGACACCTTGGTCCATAGCTTCGCCCAGCTCAGCCAGCCTTTGGGATGTGTGCATAGTGGCTCTGTTGGACTGCCAAGACCCTTGCTGTCTGCCTGCCATGCTCCATTGTCACCTGAGAATCTCAGAGCCACAAAGGGCCTCAGAGAGCAGAGGCTTTGCCCTGTGGTCAATCTGAGGCTGAGCCTTCTGTGGGGTTCTTCAGCCAGCCCATGGCCATGCCCATCCAGTGCCCATCAGCATTGTGCTGGGTGCGTGGAACAATCCTGGTTCCTGCTGCGGGTGCTTGGGGGAGGCAAGTGTGAAGCTGTGAATCAGCTAAGGGTCAGGGTGCAACTGAAACCCCCCTAAGAGACCTGGCCTGGCCTTGGTGGGTGGGAGGCCTTCCTGAGGAGGCAAAGCTTAGCCAAGATCTGGGGGGGTGTCAGTGTTTACTGTGAAGGGTGGGAAGAGAGAACAAGCCGGGGGTCAGAAGAGTGGGAGCCATGGAGGCTGGTGTTCAGGGTTGCAGGATGCCCATCTGACCCCACTTACAGCATGAACAGAGCCTGCCCTGAGCCCCAGGCTGTAGGGTGTAGGCCATATGGGAGCCTAGGGTGCCCTATGCAAGCTCCCATGTGACCATCTGTCCTCACCCACCGTGCTGTCACTGTTTGTGTCGTGTCCCATCTGTGCTCATCCTCGCCTGCTCACCCACACTGCCTCCACCAATATTGCCCGTGCTGCCCCTAACCCTGACCACACTCTGTTCTCCAGGCTTTGTCTTTCTGCTTGCACTGTCACGGCTCGCTTCAGGGGACAGCGCAGACCGCATGCTTAGTCCTCAGTCCGGCTCCCTGCTCCCCCTGTGACCAGGAGCTCCTCCACATCTGCTGGTCCTGTGATTTGGAGAGTGTGTGTTTGATGTGCTTGGCTTCTGCCCACAGCCCATGTTCTCAGTTCTGGCCAGATGCAGTGGTGGCCTCCTCCCACCGCCTGTCTGCCTGGCAGGTGGCTTAGTCCTATATTCCCATCGCTTTGCTCTTTCCGGCTTTAAAAACGTAACAAAGGCGACAGACTCTAAGATACCAAGCTATCTTCACAAGGACAAGTGTGTAAAAATGCACATCGTGCACAGTAGCCAAGACGCTCTGAGGTGGGCCCTCAGAGCCCTGTGTGCAGTGCGCGGTGTCCAGGCTCAGGGCAGGGGGCTGCGTGTGGCATCAGTCTGCGCCAGCCTCCCTTCCCAGGGCGAGGGAGAAGTCAGCTCACGGTGGGCAAGCTACATTCCATGAACAGACGTTTTCAACGTGGGAGAGGCTCAGAGTGGAGCTTAGGTGACCCTGCATGTGCCCCTGCAGGGGGTGGGCGGTGGGACTGATGTTGGGGCAGGGAGGGAGACTGTCAG